ACAATATTTTTTGGATAAAAAAAAGTACAGGGTTTAAATTGCGACGAGAGAAAAGTACAGGGTTTTAAATGGAATTATCCCTAATATTTAAAATCAATTATTCGTCCACATGTTTAGTTCGTGAAATCGAATTATGGTTGGAATTGGGTAAAATTAATTTGGTTTGAATTCGAATTTGTATTCATTAGCAACTAGAGATTAGAATTACTATATATATATATATATATATATATAAAAGATTTGATAATTAGTTAATTTAGGAACGTCGCCGTTGTAGGTATTATTTTTCCACGTTGAAAGATACGAAATGTGAAGAGAGAGAATCCTGCCGCTTGAGTTAAAGTTGATGTCTTTCAATAGAGTTTGTCCACATGAGAAGTTTACATGTTACAGCTTTTTCATTAATGGACCACCTTTACAAAAACGAAAAATAATTCGATTCCTCGAATGCATTCTTGGAATTTTCAGTTGTTGATATGACGTTGTATTCTTATTTTTAATAATATTTTTTAGGGATATGATTGTCGTCCTTGGAAACCTCAATTGTAATAAATATATACTATTAATTTAAGAAAAAAAATAAGGGAAAAATTCTAAAATAATACATAAAATTTTTAATTTTTACAAAATAAAACTCAAGCTTTATTTTTTATCAAATAAAACTCCAACTTCATTTTTCAGTAAAAAATAAATCTGAACTTTATAATCTTTTTAATTTTTAACATTATTGTTGATGTGGCGTTCCGATATCGTGACACTTGGACGATGATGTGTCAAATACGGTCAAAATGTTAGACTTGCCACGTAGGATGTCGGAACGTCACGTCAATAATAAAGTTAAAAATGAGAAAAATTATAAAGTTCAAATTTATTTTTGACTGAAAAAATAAAGTTGAGGTTTTATTTGATAAAAAACAAAATTTAAATTTTATTTTGTGAAAATTGAAAAGTTTATGTATTATTTTGGGATATTCTCAAAAAAATAACTACTAAATTCTGTACCTTTTTTTATTTTGTTCCATGCCCCATGTGCTGGAGGTGTTAATAGTGAGACTGTAAGTTAAACGGTGATTTGGATTTGATTAAGCAAAATTAAAATCCATTCAAACAGAATATCATATAGTTATATTTGATATAAAAATTAAATGGTAATAAATTTTTTAAAATCGATTAACGGTATCCGAACTAGAAAATGACGAAAAAATCAAATGATAATTTTTATATGCATGTAACTATTTTTTTTATTCGGTTTGGGTTTGATTCTATAAAAAAAACTGTAGTTATATATGTGTGTATGTATGTATATATTTATTTATTTTCTTTTTATTTATTTATTTTTTATTTGATGAACATCGTTTGTATTTAGAGATTTATTTATTAATTTTTTAAAAATATAGATATTCTATTATTATAAATGATAAATATAGTGTTTATTAATATATTTAAATGATGAATTTTAAATTGTGACAAGAGAAAAATAAATATTTTTTTAAAATAAAATTCTTCTTTTATTTTATTAAAATTACATTGCTTGTTTAATTATATATAATTAAGAGTTCTAGAAAAAAAACTATTTTTGCCTATTTCTAATTTTTCCATTATATATCAATAATAACAATAATAAGAAAAACTATCTTACAATTCACATGCAGAGTGAATAAAATTTCATTGGAGTATATTTGTTGGTAATGGGCATATATATACACAGGTGTGATCAAGTTCTGAATTGAGCCCACTAAACTTTCTCCCATGAGATCTTATAGAATGCATTGGACATTTATTTAGGACATAGACAATATTATTTGTTCGAATTCCATCTTAGTTACATCCCTTCTGATATCTTCCGTGCTTAGTTTATATTAGGGGTGTCAATCGGATCGGCCCGACTGGTATTTGACCCGAGCGTTTCAGGCTCTAACTCGGGCTAACCCGATTTTTTTCAGACCTAAATCATAAAATCCGAAGTCCGACCATACATATTTTGGACTTGGGTTCGGAACGAGTCAGCCCGTTAAATTTGTTCTTTCAAAAAAAAAATTATTTTTATTAATTTTTTTTTAAAATAATTTTTGGGCTTTCGGACCCTCTCCATCTGAATCCAGCCCGAAAGTCCGAAAATTTTGGGACCTAAATATCTCGATCCAAAACCAATTATTTTTAGGGTCAGATCGAACTGAGCTTCGGGTTTCGGGCCTAATTTATTTATATATATAATCAGTTTTTCACCATTTCATATGATGGAATTCATTGCATTCGTTTTGGACAGTTTCAAAAAAATTTGAGTGCTTCGTTAGGAAGTTGATAGAATTTTGGGCGGTCATTAGTTAAAATGTATCTGGAAAAAGAAAAACACACACACACATGTATATATTTGAATTGCATATTCAAGTTGGATGAGATATCATTACATGCATACAAGTTCACCATCACACATATATAATTAACCAATTAAACCACCCAAACTAAAAATAAAAATAAACGGAAAATAGAGGAAATGTGAATCTATTGTAATCGCACCCATATTCCTTCGCTTGGTACGTCTTGATTCACGACAAACATCATGTAATAACCGGGCGGTGCGAGGTTGGCCGATCTTGGTGTCTTCACCTCGACTTCGTACACTGTCTTTGCTTTGCTTTTTCTGGTGAACTTGACATTATCCAAAACTAGAAGCCTCTGATTCATTGAGAAGGAATGAGTCGTGAAGGATGGAAACACCATTGTCACCTTCATCGGATTCTCGACCTCACTCTGCACCGAGAATCTCAGCTTCACCTTCGTATTATACTTCATCTTGAACTGTGATTTGGGAGATGTTATCTTCGGGCGGAGACCCGACATCTCTTGGTTCAGATACGACGGCGAGAAAGATTCTAAACTCAGCTCTGTCGGAAAAAGCACGCCGGTGAAGTTGTAGAAAGCATGTGGATTACTTCCTCCGACGAGAACCCTACCGTCACGGAGAAGAACGGCGGTGGAATGATACATTCTCGGAATGGTGCTAGGGTTTTGTGTCTCGAATCTTGATCCGACCGGGTTTTCCGGTAGGTAAAGATCTGGAGCTAAGACCGGTTCACGACCAAGCTCCCAAGCAGCGGTTCCAGAAGCGCCGCCATTGACGAGTAGAACATTTCCATTAGGGAGAAGAGTCATATCTCCCATCACTCTTGCCTGAGGCATCGTCTCCATTACCCAGTTAGGGTTTGGATCTGTTATCTTGATTCTTGCACAAGTGTTGAGTGCTTTCACAAAGTTGTTTCTCCTCCATGCTTGTTCATATGCTCCTCTCGGTGCACCGCCGCAGACCAGAACCTCTGCCTCGACATTGGCAGCTTCAAGGTTCTTCAATGGCAGAAAAACCGCCGAGCCAGTGCTCGGGTATGATCTCGGGTCACCTCCTGGGATGGTAGGGTAAGTCTTGACGATAATATTCTTAGTATAATCAAGCAAGATAGCTCGGTTATTCGCGAAAATGAATATATTCCCATCGACATTGAGGAAAACATAAGGGTAAAGATTGTTCTCGCTCCCTCGATCATTAGTCTGAGCCAAGAACGGTAAGTTATACACGTTAGGATCTTTAGTTTTTGGGTAAAACTCGAAGTTGAACTGACCACGACCACCGACGATTATCTGTCTACCGTCAGGCAGGATATGGTTAGAAGCGTACCATCTCCTTAGGGCTAATCCATTATCGATCTCACTCCAGTCACATTTGTTAGTTTTGCAAGGAAAGAACAACCTGGCCCTCCGTTCTCCATCTAAGTCCCCTCCTGTCTGAACCAATGTCCCGTCCGGTGTGACGGAGCCAGATGAGCACCAGGTGTTGGACTGAACGGTGAGCGGACGGATCCCGTTTCCGAGCACGTCGTACTCGACGGAATGAGCCGTACAGTCGAGCTTCGAGACTCGGTCGTTTTGGTTGTTCCGACATTTTCCGCTGGGCAAGGAGATGTTGGACGGACCGAAGTCCGTACGGTCGAACGTTATGACTCGGTCGTTGTGGAGGAGCTGCATGTGCATGGCAGAGATCCCCACGTTGAGTTGGAGGAGTTGCCAACTTCCTCCGGCGGCCGCCGCCGCTGGTGCCACATGGCAAAACAGGAGGAGGAGTTGGAGAGTAGATGAGATGAAGAGAAGATAGAGACATGGACGAGAGGATGTGGCTCGTGTCATGTTTTTTCTTCTTCTTCTTGTGTTTGTTACTTTTTTTTTGTTTGGTTTGTCTGGTGTATTGATGCTTTGGAGCTATGCTTATATATATATATATATATATATATATATATATATATATATATATATATATATATATATATATATATATATAAACACATTATTATTATTATTATTATTATTATTATTATTATTATTATTATTATTATTATTATTATTATTATTATTATTATTATTATTATTATTATTGTTGTTGTATGATATTGTTAATCATTACAAAATGTTTTTTTTTTGTTAAACATCATTACAAAATGTTAATTAATTGTCGTTGAAGAAGCCTCATCTATTATTGAGATACATTATCTCGTTATTAGCCATTTATAAAATGATAATGTAAGAATGTTGTGTCAACTTCAAACACCGAAGAATTAGTTATAGCAAGTCAAAGATCGTTAATTATGTCCAAAAAATAAAATTAATTTACTCGTTAGTATTTTCCGAAATAATGAAAATAAAAATAAAAAACGCATGCATGGCGTACCCCGACATGAACATTCATGCACATGCATAAGAAGAGAATATAATAATAGACAAAATGTAAAAATATTCCTAAACAGGTGTCAAGATTAAAAATAATAATGAGATGCTAAAAGCTATTTATTCCGCTTGGTTGTCAGAATTATGCTTCTTAAAAACTCATGTAATAATAACGAGTAAATTAGTACGAAATATATCATATGGAGTTTAAATACTAAAGGGTTTTATATGATATGTTTATAATTTAAATAAATAGTATTTAATATATTTCAAAAATAAAAGGATATCAAGTGGACTCGGCTGTATTATGAAGATTCAAAAGAGTTTGAATCCTACGACACACTCTTATAAGAAAAAAAAAACCCATAAATTAAATATTTGCGTAGATTATGAATATACATTTAAATGATTAATTATAAAAAAAGAAATGCCATTATGTTTATGTGAAAAGTTATTATAAGTTTATGGTTTATCTAGAATGATCTAATTGGATAATTTTGGTAATTTATAATTTTTTTGAATATCTAACTGAAAACCATAATGTATTTTTATATATTAGAATTTATAAATGAACATCAAATCAGTAAAATTTGGTCGATTTCAAAATAATACTTGCAGTTATTAATTTGAATAAACCCTGGCATAATCTTTACAAAAAAAAAATTCCGATAAATTTGACAGGTACTTGACATGGATGATTTAATATCTTTATCATTTAATCAGAGTTTAGGGATTCGAATTCTATCTTGAGAATGGAACAATCTGTTAGATCAATCTTTTATCTTTTAGTACGTTGATACAGAGATGAAAAAAAATTAGTTTAAATATATAAAGTTTAAAAGTGTCGGTTTATAATTTAATGTCATTAAAGACACCTCGTATTCTATCTAAAATTGGTTTATCTCAAAAAAAATACCCTGATATATTCATTGGATACACATACATCTGCCAATTTTAAGATATTGTATTATGTCTCACAAAATACCTAGAGTGTGCATATATATCCTCTTTTTTAATTCTAACAAAAAGTAAAAGAGAGAATCTTTGCCACTTTGAATTTTACAGTTCATATCGAGGCATATATTGCTGCTCAGAATCACATGACCAAGTTCCATATATATATATATATATATATATATATATATATATATATATATATATATAGAAACATATATACATTTCATGTGTGTGTATATTGAAGCATATATACAGTTCATGTGTGAATTTACAGAATGTCAGGATGGACAAAGTATTTAGTTTTCTCTGCTAATCGGTAAAAAAGATTCGGATATGATTGTAATAAAATATATTTACAAAATTAGAATCTGTTTAATTTGAAAAACGATATTTTTTTCACCGATAAGAGAGTTGATTATCTTTATTTTGTCAGTTTGACTTTTGTAAACAAAACTAATTTTTTTTATAGAGGAAGCAGCCGCTGAATATTATATATTTTTTATATAAATAAATGATAAGCTAAGATTTATATAATTTTGATTAATGACTCGTAAAGAGGACGAGGGGGATGCAACGAACCGAATTAAAAAACAAAATAACAATCTTCACTTATTTCCTATTTTCATGATTCCTCTCTCTAGCTATAAGCCGTTTCTTTTTCCTAAAAAAAAAACATATTTCATCATTTATATATAATGCGATTTAATTAAAACAGTTTTGCTATATAGAATAAGCATTTAGATATAAAACTCAAATTATTGAATATTGAAATTGTATATATTTAATATAAGGTAAATCCACAAAAAAGAAACTGAAGTTGTTAAAAAGATTTACAAATAATCCTGAACTTGTTACACCCTATAAAAAAGATTGAACTTGTCAAAAACTTTATGAAGAAAACGGTAAGTTGTCAATTTCTTTCAGATTTAACCGTTGACTATATTGACCGATTTTTCCAATAAAAATCACGATAAAAAAAACTCATTTAAAAAAAAACATTATTCAAATTTTTGTTTATTTTTGTATTTAGTTTAGTTTTTATTTGACTATGGATAGGTTTTAAAAAAAATTTATATTCCAAAGATTTATTAATCTAGTGATTACCACTCCTACATATTAGTCCAAAATCAAGGAATTGTGTATAGACGGTGTAATTCAGACAACAATTCTATCAAAAATCAGAACGACAGAAAAAAAACAAAACATCAATTATTAGATATGAATATAGATCCGCAAACATTACTAGACTTTTTTTATAACAGTGTTCACAACATTTATTTATTTGATTTATCATATGCATGTTTTAGCTTCGACCATATCACATATAATTCAAAGTTCCTTGCTTTTTTTGGGTATATATATCCTTATGCATGTAAAATATACCACCCAATCTAATGATTGAGCAGCCCAAAGTTCGGTACATGAACTCATACCATGTTGACTTCTTCAGGTCTTTTATTATTATTTCAAATGTGTTCCAAATCTTTTGCAAATGCATATGTACATATATAGATATGTGTAGATATGTAAACACATATATATACATATATATATATATGTGTGTGTGTGTGTGTCTTTGACCTTGTTTATAAGTATCCAAATCACCAAATCTAATGATTGAAACTGCCGTTGACGTAAACATTCCATGCAATGCAAAATGCATGAATACCTTGTACGTTGACTCGTAATTTGTGTATAATATTATTTCATGTTTTTCTAAAAAGATTATTATCCATCTGAAAAATCTTTTCTTCCGCTTTTTTCCTCAACTTCGAATATAATTATGGACCAACAGATTATTACTACTAATAATCAATCTGAATTATTTATTTTCAAGTGGAACTCAAACTCTAATAATAATAATATGATTACCAAGATATGTTCCGATCCATTGTATTAAACAAAGAATCAATTACAGAATGAAATTATTTAGTTTGAATGTCGACTAATGAATCCCTTGGTGATTATTAGGATTATATCCATCAAATTTATACTTGTAAGATATGGATCTTATGGTTCTTCCCAAATTGTCGATGATAAACTAAATAAAGAAAATGATTATGGACAAGCTTTTCATATAAATATACGAGTTTCTTTCCTTAACTCTCAAGTCAATACACAACTTCAAAATTTTCGAAAATAAAATACACCAAAACTCCCCAAAAAACGCAGATAATTCGCATTTTTTAACTCTTGTAATTTTTTTTATATTTTAACTAAAAATAGAAAAAAAAATATTTCTAAACTAGAAAGCGTATATTTTTCTAATAAAATCTAAGCCATTACAAACGTGAAAACCAAACCTAACAAAACCATTACAAAACTTTCAAGATTAAAAAAAATGTAACATTTGAGCTTAATCTCAGTCAAGAGAACGGAATATTAGACATCGTAATTAACACTAAACAGTTATACAACCGATTAATTGATTACAGGATCAGACAAAAATAACTCAAACTTCTCATTGTCTTTTGCAAAAGAACATGACAATGATCCATTGAAATAAAGGCTTTGTCAGCTTTGTGGAGGATAGAGCTGCCAGAGAGCTACGTTTGCGTCTTCAGACGCAGACGCCATTAACTTACATCCCTGTGAATACGCCACCGCGTTACACTGCAAAACGCATTAAACAGAAAACGCCGCGTTTCAGATAGCGGAAAACTGCAAAACACGTTCTCTCCGAGTTGTTTTTGGTAGCATTAGATCGATCTCGTAAGGATCGAGACCTGAGCCTCGGATTTCCACCCGGCCGAGGAAAGAGGGAGTTGAGACGAGGAGACAGAGATGGAGCAAACCGTCACTTCCCTTGCCTCGTCCTGAGTTCTGATTTAAAAATAAAAAACCCTGAAACAAATGCCTTTGATTTTAAATCACTTCCCTCTCAGCCCTCTCAGCTCTCTCTCCCTCGACTAGGGTTACCCGTGATTACGGATACTCGTCAGCCAAAACCCGATTTCACTGTTGACGGACATGTACTCGAACCGCGATGAACACAGGTGGGAGGGGTACACGAAATTTCCGGTTCCCGTGAAAACACGGGACAAGAAAACCACACTCAAAATCAGGTTTTCGGGTGAGCCCCCAAATCACGAGTACGAAAAAGCAGTTCGAGAAGAGCATACCGTTGCACGGTGGTATTTCAGAATCGCCAGAGCATTTCCTTTGCGATAATTATACACCCTTATTCTGTTTCCAACGATTGCAAAAAAAAAAGGCTTAAGAGGGAGATGATTTTTCATTCTACATATAAGCTACTGCTCTACTGCTTTATGGGCATAAATAAGTTTTACCATTACTAAAAAGGGGAAAAAAACTTTTTACAGAGCAAGCTAGGTGAATCAGTGATTCAGCCCTCGAAGGAGATCGGTAACAAGTTGTTTTGACACGAGTTATTAACCCTAAACCCTAATAAAGAACTGACAACAGCTCAAAGGACAAAGTTTAAGCATCATTGAAGCCAAATCCACGAAAACGAGAGAACTTTACGAGACGGGCATGACAAAGAATTGGAGACGTCGATGCTAACCTGTGATCCCAACCGGCAGTGGCAGCAATTTTTCCGTCAGGTCGGATTGAGGTGCCTGATATGCCAGGTCTTTCCAAAATAATCTCTTTCCTCAATGTGCAAGAACCCTGAAAACCAGAAAACGATGGTGAATCTTGCACCAAAAATCGAGAACATAACTATGCTTTACAAGTAAGAGTTCGACTTCTGTCATCATAGATCAAACATCCACTTACTGTTGAATGATTCAGATTGTACATCACGACTTTGTCGTCGGCCCCCCCTGAAATTCCCCCATCGCACGACGGTGAGGTGCAAAGGCTTAGAACTGCAAAAAGACAAAAAAAAACCTCAAATTGTTCATATGGAAACCTACAAGAATTTAAAAAGATAAAGAAAAAGAGAGAGCCTGGACGAAACGTTTTTTTTTAGGTAACGAGGGAAGGACCTGGTTCCGAGTGAAACTTCACAGTCGTTAGAGGAACCTTAGCATTGCGGATATCCCAGAGCAGCATGGAACCATCCTCATAACTACACTAGCCAGAAAATGGTGAGAAATGCTTCAACGTGTAACTCAAACAACCACGGGAATCTATGGTTCAAAAGTTTCTCAAACAGGAAAAAGGAAAAAAAAAAATTGAGAACCAAAGTCAAATTGAATTGAATTGAATTGCTGTATCATTATCATTTTTTTTATATAAGCAATAGAGAGAGAGCATACCCAGCCAAGATATTTAAGAAACCCTGTGATTCAGATGGGAAAAACAATTGAACGGCCATGCACATCCCTGCAGAAGAGGCAATTAACTACATGTCAAAAGGGTCTTTGTATAATCCACTAATTCTTGAAATTATGTAGTGCACCTCGAATTTGCCCCACAAATGAAGAATTTAAAAAATTTGATCCCGAGGCTGCAGCTAGAAAGCCTAAGAGTCATAAGCAGAAAAGGTGGCATCTTCTTGAGTATGCTTTCTTCTCTAATAATGAACAAACATGCACAAAATTTAGTGAGATTGGTTTAGTTTCTACCCATGCGAAGGCCCGAATAGCATTTCACCAAGCTCATCGAAGATGGAATCGATGACATATTTCTAAGTGGCATTCGACATCCTAACTATTGGAATTAACAAGAATGTACATATACAGGATCACATATAAACAGAAGGAGGATACCTCTTCCTTTTGGGGAATTGCCTAAGAATCCAGTGGAGCTAGCTTCAGGAAGTTGCATGAGCTTATCTCCAGTATGCAGATCCCACACCTCTACCTTCCCGGATAAACCAAATGAGACGAATGAACATTGGAAACAGAACAAAAAAAACGAAAAAATAAACCGATTTTGTTGGTGAATAATCACCTGAGTGGGCTGCTCCCCAGCAACAGCTACATAGGTGACACCTTCATTAGAGCTTTCATCTGTCATTATCAAGTTCAAAGTGAACATAAAGCATGCCAAAAGAGAAAATAGAGGAAAAAGGAGAGAAAGGGAGAAAGAAAAACAGCTCTATGTGAGACAGATTGAAGACAATTTCATGTAGTTACCAGTTCCAAATATTTTCAGATCATAATAAAAGAAAAAAGGAAGAGCATAGTGTTAGTTCATCTCAAAGTTCATTAAAAAAACTCGAGAAAAACATACCCTGCAATGAACTAGAACTCTCCACAGGTCTCCCTGTTGTCTCTCCTTCACTACCATCCGTAGATTGAGCATTGACAGTTTCTCCATCATCCTGTTCTTTGTAACTCTCGGAATAGTCTTGATCTTCTTCCTGGCAAATCCTAGGCTTCTTAACAAGGGAAAACTTGCAAAAGTGATATGTGTTTGTGTTGAATTTGAGTAATGGGCTCCTGCCAAGCATGTAAAGCAAGCTTAAGAACTCTAGCAAGCCATCCACATAAAAGGACTGAAAACGCAAAGCAAATTAATTTTCGCAATGCTTTCAGATAGTCGCCGAATATACTTAGGAAGCACCTTACTCTAACCATTTGCTTCATTAGAATCTCATTTCTTATTTTCAAGTAGAAAACGCATATTTCTAACCATTTACAATGTTATCAGACACTTGAAAGTTGAAACATTAGTAGACTCTCTTTTAAATGTTATTAGACTCTTTTTCAACATTCTTACACCAAAATCGGCTAAATCTACCGTTTTTAGGATTTTTTGCTCAAAAAAGCTTATTAAGTAACTTATTCCTACTGTCGAACATATAACAGTGGGAAAGAGCAGGAAATCATCTTGTACCTTGATAGACCGCCTTCTTCAATATCCCACAACTTAACAGTTCCATCCCTCCCTTGGCTATACAGAGTGCAACAACAATCATACAATTACAATAGTAATGCAAATACTTCAGCTTTCATGAACATGTAAAAACATGATTAGAACGGGCAAACAAAAAATTTACCTGATAACCTTGTTTTCTCCTAAACATGGACTAGATGCTACAGCTAAAACTCCATGTGCTCTACTATGCGCCCTACGAACCAAACGGCGATGAGCTACTCTTCAAGAGAAATGAACAAGAACACACTACAATAGTTTTCAATTCAAGCCAAACCATGCAGAAGAAACAGTACGGTTCTGAAACGTATCCCAAATCCGCAGCTCTCCATCAGCAGAACTGCAAGAGAAATCTTCAATTTGTACCAAATGATCAAACTAAACAACACATCATACATTTGGAAGGAGGGAAAACAGCGTAAAATGAAGGATGAAACACAAAAAGAAGAGAGACCAAATTACCCAGAGAAAAGCAAAGATCTGGATGGGTGAAAAGACACGTCCATGACAGAATGACGATGTCCTCTGAGAACAGCTACAGGATCGGGCGGCGGTCTCTTGCTCATCTCTGCTTAAGCTTTCACGACAGAACACAAAAACCCAATTTTAGCACGAACAAGTCTTTATCGTATCAATTCATCTCTTCGGAAACAGCCAAATTACACATAACAAAGAAAAACCCTCGAATATTTTTTCGTTGAGAAGATTTTTTTTTTTTCACACAAGAGGAAACCCATGAAAAATTTCATCCTGAGAAACAAACGGGCCGATCAAATTCTGTGAATTTGAAACTAACAGCAAACAAAGGCACAGAAAAGTTGGAAACTTGATAGAAATTTCTGCCGAGAAGATGAGGGGCTTCGTCGGGAAGTAGAATCTCTGGAACTTTTCAGATTACTAGCTTCAAATCTTGACCACACCAGTCGTCTGTTCTGTTCTGTAGCAGAAAATTTCTCTCTTTGTAATTTCTTTTTTGGGTAAATCACAGAGAAATTGGGTAAATTTGTCTCCCTCTAGGTCTGGTCAAACAATCTGCCACTCCACTGACGTTTTATCACACATATGAGGAATTTCAGCGAACAGTTGGCGGGCGTAACCCTAAAACCAGATGCACCACAATACCCAAAAAAACAGAATACGACCCAGATCCCCAAATGAAAACAAAAACACGAATTCGCAACACAAAACACGTAGAGAGAGAGAGAGAGAGAGGTTACCTGTGAGAGAAGAGTGCGACGGATTAGGTTCGTCGAGACTGGTGCTCTCCCACCGTGGATGGAGCGAGAGAAAACTCTGGAAATGGATACGAAGATGGAGGATTCAAAGGCTGAGGGTGACGGGAATTGGAGCCGATGATCAGAGAACGACGGAGACGGATGTTTGAGAGAGAGAGAGAGGGCAATCGACAGATGTGTGTGTGGCAAGGCGACTCACTTGATTAAAAACCGAATATCTAAAACTTTTTTCAAGTACAAAAAAATTGGTTATTCAAAATCCATATATACGAAGATCCGGTTTCAAATTTTAATATCTAAAACATTCGGATATAAATTTGTATATCATAAAATTTGAAATATTTGGATACCCAATGAATGATATTTTTTTCTTGTCAAACTCAAGTTGTTTAGACGGTGACCGGCAGAAACGCAATCGCAATCGCAATCGTCACTGCGTTGTAGTTGCTAGCGATTCTACACAATTAGTGTTGAATGATAAAAAAAATTATTGTTGATAACGACTATTGATGAGTTTTGTTTAGAATTAATAGTTGGAAGTGATTATATTTTTAAAATTTTATATCATACCTATTTATTTTTGAATAATTTAATGATTTTTTTTTAAAACAATATGAAAATATAATCAATCACATATATGCTTCAGAAACTCAACTCGGAAACAATTTAAATTATCCCGTAAATCTATTTTTCGTCTAAAATGAAAATATATGAGAAATATACGATAAATAATAAATAAAGAAGTATATTCCGATATTTATATGTCGTGTTTACAGTGTGTGTTTCTATTATCTCTATCCAATTCAATTCAATATGAATATTGAATACACACCTTAGCCTCTACCACGCATTTCTCGACCCTGTCTTTATTGTGTTGACATTTGTTCATTATGACCACATCGCAAATTGCATGCTACTGTGTGAAATATTATATGATTTATGGGAAAATATTATTTAAATAGCTAAATTTTTATAAAAATCTCAAATAAATATTTTAGCTATAATTTTTTTTATATAAATATTTGAATTTTAAAAAAAATTTTAAAAAATTGTCAAAATTCGTTAACAAAATTGACTATTTTTATTTGAGAAATACTGAATTTTGAATTTATTTGATATATTTTTAAAAGTCTAGATATTTATATAGAATTTTTAAAAAGTTTAGGTATTTATATTAAAATTTTATAGTTAAGATATTTATTTGAAATTTTATTAAAAAAATAGGTATTTATATGTCATTTTTACACTTTTTTTTTTATGCGGAGCCACGGCAAAGTAAATACTCTCACAATTCACAAATTTTACATATAATTTTAATATTTTGTATATGATTTCGATGTATAATATCATGATAGATATCAAACTATCAAAAATTAAACATATAATATGAAATTATCATATAATAACAGGTGAACATTCGTCATTTTATTGCACGAAACATTCATCGAAATTTAGAAATTCTATATATTCCGATACACATATACATATAAATATAAATATTGTATATACATTTAATATAATAAACAAGGAAAAACTGTATCAACGCAGTTTCAAAAGAACATATTTAAAAAAAATAAATAGATATTTTTAAAATCGTATGTGATTAATGTGAATATCGTAAATCCAACTATCGTGTAATTCCAAAACCGTACTTTCGCTAGTGTGACATTTCCTGGTCCTGGACGACGGTCAGGTGGCCCACGTGCTAGTCAAACACGCAATAATAATAATAATAATAATAATAATGCATTATCAATTTTTGTGGGTCCTACGGCTGTCCACCATGGCATTTCATTCCAGTTAAAAACTTCTCTTTCCTGACGCCTAACTTCGCTTTTCCCCATAAACACAAACAAACAACACTCATTAACGGCTACTTTCGCCATCCCCCAGATTTCGACACGTGTCTCGTCCCCATTCGATGTCAGTATTTGGCGGGAAACAAGAGATAGTGGGTCCTACATAAAATCCCCTCCACTCACCCAATCACGGAACACTGTCTACTAAAGCTGGTGCGGTCACGCGGAGATGCATACCGAAACGGCGCCGTCTTCGTGAATTATCTTCAATTTCAACGTTGAAAAAGATTTGACCGTAAACGACTTTTTTTTTTGGTAAAATGGTAAAATTTCATATATACGAACAAAATTGAATTTTATTGGTCATTAATACGATTATAATGAAGGTAGTTGAATTTTATTGGTCATTTAATTATGGTAGAACTCAATAAATGAGTCCAATGTTATCAAATAAAAATGTTTTGATCAATGCCACAACAAACATTTTTCACAGTAGAATATTACATCTACACAATTCAATAAAAGTTTCTCTAAAAAAGGAATTTGCCACATCAAATTAAAAAAAAAAATAAGCGAAGATAAAAAACCAAAAATACAAATATTACACAAATAACATAACCAAAAAACAAAAATATCAAGAAGCTTCAGCCGCCGCCGGAGAATTGGCGGCGGACAAGGAAACCGCCGGCCCGACGCGACAACCTTCGAGCATGAACACGACGTCCGACATCGACGGCCGATCTGCCACGTCACCGGCCGTACACAACAGTCCAACTTTGATACCCAGCAAGAACTCTTCCCACTCGGAACTCTCCGGATCAAGCTCCAACAGTCCCGGATCAAGCAACTCATTGATCTGCCCCTTCTGCAACTGCCTCTTCACCCATTTCACTATATCTTCATCTTCCGTGAACATTACCGGGTTTTTCCCGGTTAAGATCTCTAGCAATACGATCCCGAAACTGTATACATCGCTCTCTTTGCTCGTTCTTCCCGTGAGAGCGGCTTCCGGGGCAATGTACCCTAATGATCCAACGGGTGTTGAAGATGTTGAGGGTTCTTCGGCTGGCGTCAACACCATTAGCTTGTCTAACCCAAATTCCGACAAATGTGCCTCGAAATCCGCATCGAAAAGGACGTTTTGAGGCTTCAGGTCTCCGTGAACGATCAATAAGGAATGAAGGAATGCGAGCCCTCGGGCGATCCCGAGAGCGATGAGGTGCCGCATCGGCCAGTTCAATACGTGCCCGTCTTGGTGTGAGGCTTCCTGCAAAAGGGTCGAGAGATTTCCATTCGGCATGTAATCGTAAACAAGCAGTCTCAGATCGGGCGGGCCAAAGTAGTATCCTCTAAGAACAGTCACGTTCTTGTGCTTCACTTTGCCTAAAGCCTCGGCTTCCCGACGGAATGTTCCGTCGGGTATTGTTGATCCATCGGTGAGTTTGCGAACAGATAGAACCATCCCGTCCTTGAACGTGGCTTTGAACACTAACCCAAATCTTCCCCTGCTCAAGACGTTTTCCTCGTCGAATTGCCTCGTCGCTTCTAATGTTTCGGCCAATGTGATCTTGTTGTTGAACATGACTAATTTCGGTCCATTGCCGTTGTTGTCATCTCCTCTTGTCCCACCTGAACTGGTTCGGGACGTGCGAGATGGACTCCGCTTCTTCTCTCGAGTCAATCCCGACCTTATTTTGTTCCGCCACCGCCATAGACTGTATACGTACCCGCAACAACACAGTGCTAGTAGCAAGGCTCCAGCTGCTGCCAACGTTAACAGTAGAATAAGCTTTTTCCTTCTTCTTCGCCTCACACTTTCGCATTCTTTCCCGAGCAGTTTCCCGCAGAGTTCCTTATTATCGGCAAAGACGCTTGGATCGCCGAAACGTGTGCTCAGAGCTTGCGGGATCTCGCCTTCGAGATTGTTTCCCGACAAGTTCAGGTACTTCAGAGAGCGAAGCCGCGAAAGACTAGCTGGAATAGTGGAGTTCAATTCGTTCGACGAAAGGTCTAGCACCGATAAGTTCGCCAATCTGGATAAGGAATCGGGTATTCGACCCGATAGAGAGTTCCAATTCAGCCTAAGAGACTCGAGAGACGAATCTTTCGAGATCTCCTCCGGAATGTTTCCTGTTATATTGTTGTGACTCAAATCCAGATTCTTCAGACGAGACAATTCGGATACAGAAACCGGAATGTGACCTGTTAACCTGTTTGTACCGAGCTCAAGAACCTCGAGGCTGGAGCAATTCCCGATCTCCGACGGGACAGAACCCGAGATTCGATTATGGGACAATGACAAAGCTTGCAATGATCTGAGGTATCCATAGTTCGCCGGAATTTTCCCGGAGAATGAATTGGAACTGAGATTCAAGTACTGAAGACTGACCAAGCTGCTGAAACCTTCAGGGACAACTCCGTCCAACATGTTGTCGCCGAGAGAAACCACTTGAAGACCCGGCAACCCGAAGAGCTCGATCGGTAACTGTCCGGAGATTCTCTGTCGGCTCAGGTCGAGAACCCGGAGACTCATCAAGACTCCGAGGCTCATCGGGACCCGACCCGTTAACCCGCATGCGCTCAGGTTCAAAACCGTCAAACTCTTCATTTCACCCAAATTCGCTGGAATCTCGCCGGAGAATCTGTTGAAGCTGAGGTTGAGGACGGTGAGATTCGCTAACCTGGTCATCCCCGGCGGCAGAGCTCCGACGAGGTCGTTTTCGCTGAGATTTAAAGTCTCGAGTCCGTACAAGCTGAGAAAACCCGACGGGATCCGACCCGAGAACCCGTTTCGTCCGAGAGAGATAGTCTTCAAGCTCTGTATCTGACCCAGAAAACCCGGAACCTGACCCGAGAACCCGTTTCCTTCGAGATCCACAACCCGCAACGACCCGCATTTCGCCATGTCCGTCGGGATTTCGCCGGAGAGAGAATTGTTCGCCGCCCTCAGCTCCTCGAGTGCGGCGAGGTTCCCGATTTCCCGTGGCAGTTCGCCGGAAAATAAGTTATCGGAGAGATCGAGAACCGCGACCGAGGTCAAATGAGTCATCCACGTGGGAAATTCGCCATTAATGGCGTTCTCGTGAAGGTCCAAAACCTCCAAATTAAGGTTCACGCACCCTGCGTTTGGCGGCGTCGCCATGCGCGTGAAGTTATTAACTCCCAATTGGACGATTCGTACGGACGAGTTGTGACCGCAGAGAAGACTGGCGGGAATCGCGCCGGTGAGTTTGTTTCCCGGCAAGGAAACGATCTGGAGCTCCGGAATCGTGCCGAGAGTTGTAGGAATCAAACCGGCGAGGGAGTTGTCGGCGGCGCTTAAATGAACGAGCGACGTGCAGTTGGACAGAGCCGATGGTATAGTACCGTATAACTGGTTCGAATCCAACCATAGGTACTTGAGCTCCTGTAGCTGGCCAAATTTCACCGGAATCTCGCCGGAGAACTTGTTGTACGAGAGGTTGATGAGCTGGAGAGATGAGTTCTCCGAGAAGTTCGCTGGAATCTCACCGGAGAAGCCATTGGACGACAAATCGAGATATCGGAGGTCCTTTGAGATGGTGACGCCGGAGATATTCCCGGAGAGTGAGTTGTGAGCGACGTTGAACACCTGAAGATTCTTCAGACTTAGAATCTCCGGCGGAAACTCTTCGGAGAGGTTATTGTAGTGGAGATAGACGGCGCGTAGGAAGGCGCAGCGGGAGAGTGAAGACGGGACAGGGCCGTCGATCTCGTTCGAGTGGAGGCTGAGTTTGCGGAGCTGAGTCAACTCGGCGAGACGCGGACTGAGTCGGCCGCGGAGACGGAGCCGAGGAAGACGGAGCTCGCGGACTCGGCCGGAGGAGAAGCACAGGACACCGCGCCAGTCGCAGGGAGCCGCCGGGG